ATTAACCAATGATATTTTTGCAATATCACGGGATGATCTACAAAAATCAGCCAATTACAATGAAAGCCCGCTATGCTTAGCACCCCGGTGATGATCACCGGTTATGTAAATTTTTAAAAAAATTTTTATCCAATAAATCAAAAGTAAATTTAAAAAATTTTAAACGGATATATGTCTAAAATTATACAGCCTACAGAATCTATCGCTATCAAGTAATTATAATGATATTATTTCAAGATATATATTACGTACGTACAAAATTGTAAGGAAAAAAAACAATTTTACAAGATGAGGAAAGATCTTCATTTTACAGATTCGGTTTATATACTTTATGCGTAGACTTGACTAAAATTCTGTAAATACAAAGATCATAATCCATATCAGGAAAATTACACGCGTGGCTTGTTTAAAGGTTCACAATCTCCCCTGCATGCTCAAACTCAAAATTTTCTGTTTGGTAAATTAGATCTGAATAAAAAAACAGTTATCACGGTATAAAATAAAGGTAATGTAGGATAACCCGGTCTCTTTATTATTAATAATCATTGTTAATATGGCTTTCGTTCTTTTGACGCAAATTTCGACTGAATTATAATAATCAAACTTTGCTAAATGTTATAATCTTCGATTATGAATCATACATAAAGAATTAAGTGTTGCCATAATGCCAATGTACGATGATGAAAATAAACCATGGGGAAAAGCAGACGTTGAAAAACTAACTCAAGCAGTTGGAAATTATGGGGAGGATTGGACATTCATTTCTGAAAAAATTTTTTTAAATTTAAGATCAGGTCTAGCAATAGCAGAAAAATGGACGCGCATAAGATCAAAATTAGGTGTTAAAGAATCAAATGCAAAAAAGAAGATCAAATTAGAAAATGGTGAAGTCAGAGTAATGGATTCCAAAAATGGTCAAATTAAAAATAGTGTTTCGGATAGGACGTTCCATAACCCATCAAAAAAAGATGAGATGTCTTTAATTGCTTCCAATCAATACTTTTCAGGGTCAACAATTTCCTCGCCAAGTGACTCTGAGCAAGAGTCAGGCTATCAAAGGAAAATGCCAACTCCTGTAAAACAAGCATCTATGCGTATTAAAACTAAAAATAGTTGGACTATAGAAGAAGAAGATCGACTTGTGGAAGCCGTTAGCATTCATGGCACTAATTGGAAATATATATCGGAAAACTTTTTTAACTCTCAAAGAAAACCAAACACTTGTTCTAACAGATACCGACAGATTCACAACCGATATGATAGTCTTGCAATATCTCCATGTGAAAGAGCTAAGGGTATAAGAAGTCAAAATGTAGTCCAATCACCTGTTGAACAAAAGCATGACGAGACAGAAGATACAATGACAGGATCAAGTATATCAACAATTAGTGAATTTTCACCCAGCTGGGATCAGGAAATGTCTTTTTCATTATCACTCAGCCAAGATCAAGAAGTATCTTTGTCTATGGTGAATGAAATAAATTCTTGGACTGATATGGAAGATGAAGTCCTTCAAACTGCCGTATTATTATATGGTGACAAAGATTGGGATAAAATAAAAAACATTTTACCACACAGAAAACAAGTAGAGCTTGTTTCTCGTTGGATAATGTTAAAAGAAAAGTATCGGTTTATGTTACCTTCAGACTTGCATTCTGAGCCTAAAATAACCGTTCCATTTACTGAAGAAGAGGAAGACCTTTTATCTCTTGGTGTTGCATTTGAAGGATTTAAAAATTGGCATAAAATTGCTCAAGAATTACCTAGACGCAGCCTTTCTGACATGATTATTCAATGGAATATATTGACACAAAGGAAACGCGACAGAGAAACATACAAAAAAATGCAAGATGTACATGAGCCGATAGAAGGGTCTCAACCTTCACGAGCAGAAGACAATAAAACCTATGATAAAGGTAATAATCTGATTTATGACATTATAAAGGATTATATGAGCACTTTTATTTATTAAATAATAAATTATTGTTAGCAGATCCCTGGGGTATAAATGTCGACGAGGTAAATTGTAAAGATATTTGTTGGTCATCTCTAAATGTATATTCCGTTGCAAATAATTTTTGGCATTTAATAAACATTTTCGTTTATAGATTGATTATTCCAAAGTTCTTAGTCCAGTTGGGGAATGGGATAAATATATGAAGCGTGTCGCAGAACTGCATCCAAATGATGCGATGAATATAACTAATGGTTTTCTATCTGATAGATATACTTGAGTCTGCATTATTAGATATATAATTAAGCTCTAGCTCTATATTTTTTTTTTCTCTTAGAAAAAACACTCATATGTGTCGTACTTTAAGTCAGAGACATTTGGGCTGGATACATCAATTTGAATGTATGTTCGTCTCTTCTTGGCATGATTTCCATATATTATAGATAATTTGATTCCTAAATCATTCCGTCCTAATAATACACGAACATAAAAAAATTTTTAATGCTATATATAGATGCTGTGATAATAGACATTAATAGATTTGAAGTTAGACAAAATTGAATTGAAAATATCATTAATAAACGATCTTAACATATTATAAAAAAAAAAAAAA